TTGTGAATCACAACAAATTGTGGTCAGCCTTGAGGAGAATGGAAACCCCAGAACATTTGTGCTTATGTGAAATCTATACTCAAACCAGAAAACAATCCTCAGAACAGAGCAGAGAAACACTTTATGGTTCAGAATAAGGAAGGGAATGCATCAGAGATGTGTTCTGTCTCCATACCTTTTCAATCTATATACAGAATGGATCATTCGGGAAGCTGGGCTTTATGAGGAGGAATGTGGCATCAGGATTGGAGAAGACTCGTCAATAACCTACATTACTTGCTGAAACTGAGGAGGACCTGAAGCGCTTGCTGCAGAAGGTCAAGGACTATAGTCTTCAATATGGATTGAAGCTCTACATAGAGAAGACAAAGATTCTCACCACTGAGCCAACTGACAGCACCATGATGAATGGAAAAGAGGTTGAGGTTCTCAACAGTTACAGTTTGCTCAGCTCCACAATCAACACTTTTGTCTCCAGAAGTCAGTAAATCAAAAGACGGATTGCATTAGGTAAATCTGCTGTCAGGGAGGGACTTCTAGAGTACTGAAGAGCAATGATGTCAGTCTAGAGACTAAGGTGCTCCTGATCCAGTTCATAGTCTTTGCAATTACCTACTAGGCATCAGAAAGCTAGATAATGACAGAAGAATTGTTGCCTTTGAGTTGTGGTGCTAGAGAAGAGTCCTGAACATATCATACACCACCAAGAAAACAAATAGGTCTCTCTTAGAAAGGGTGAAACCAAATTTCTCCTTGGAGTCTAGGATTTTGAAGCTCTATCTAACATATTTTGGGGATGTAGCCAGGAGGGACCGATCCTTGGAAAAGGACATCATGCTTGGAAGGGTTGAGGGTCAGCGTAGGAGAGGAAGACTCTGGATATGATGGATTAATATAGTGACAAGTCAATGACAGTAGCTGTGTCGGAGTCAGTGAGACTGGCGCAGGACAGGGCAGGCTTCAGAGCTATTGTATATAAGATTGCTATAAGTTGCAGGTGACTCAATGGCACATAACAAAACCAACAACAACTCTGATGATGTTGCTTAGCCTCCATAAGTGAGTTTTAAGAAGTCACTTCAAACAGTTGAATTAAATATACAGACAGACTACATAATCAAGCATATAAATTTAGATGCTTGAAAGTCTATTAATGAAACTGTTCCTCCTAGTTCTATAGATTTGTAGGTTAGGAACACTTGCTTTAGCCTATAGTATTAAAACTTGATTGGTGTACTTTAAAAAGATATTCACCTGATACATTTGAAAATTATTCAAGCACATACACACACAGACAAAAGTTAAGAACTGGAAAAAATTTTTAATGAGATACTTTATTAGTCAATGAAAAGTTGAGGAATTATTCAAAATGTTATTTTAACATTTTCAGATTCTATCATCAGGCCCAAGTCAACCATTTAAATCATGAAGTCATTTACTTAATCAGTTCCAGAATTAAATCAGTTTTATTATCATTTTATCTATAATTTATTAAAAATTATCAGTAACTAAATTGTTGTGTTAGCTGATATGCAAATATTCCAAAGGCAAAATGACTTGCTCTAAGTTATACAACTGATTTTAGTCGAACATCTACATTATTGGAAATTATTTAGTCAATATAAAAGAATAAATTATTGTTACTATATGCTATAAAGTCAGAAACAACTTCTAAATGACCCTCTAATGGGTTTTCAGAGGCAGTAAGTTTCATGAGAGAAGACTGACCATCTTTCTCCACAGAGCAGTTAGTGAATTTGAACTTCTGGGTTGGCAGTGCAATTCCTTACCACTAGTTTCCCAATGTTTCCTTAAAGAATAAAAGTTTATATACATATCTGTTAAGTGTGTGTGCATCTCTCTATCTCTATCTCTCTCTATATATGAAAAATATTTAAAAAATTCTCTTTTTAACTAAAAGAATGCTCAAGTATATTTTATAGAGAAATTCCATGAAAGTATATGAATAAATAATTGTTTTATTACCACTAATAATCTTCTGCATATGATTAAGAATGCTTCTTTTCGGATAAATCAAGATTCGGATTAAACAAATCTATGCATTTTTCACGATGGAATTATTTTTTTATAGTAATTTATGCATAGAGCTGCAACGTCTTCTCAATGAACCCTTGGATTGTGAGAAGAGCTTAGTATGTCTGTAGTAATTTCACCTTTTGGCTCCCTTCCTATTAAAACACAGCTGTCTTAAGCCAAAATACATTTTCCCCAATTTTCAAGCTCCCAAACCTCTTGGGATAGGATTTTGATGTAAGAAAATTGTGACTCAGAGACTTGCTAGCATAGCAGACTCTGTTGCACAATCTAAGAGTGTATGTGGTGAATGAAAGAAGCCCTAGGACCCTTTCTTATTAAAGATCTTGACAGCTAATCTAGCTCAAGTATATTTTTTCATTTTAGAAAATTACTTTTATACTTGACCAATCCAAAGTATGGTTAGTTGCTCGGTAAAAGTAGGCAAAATTTTGTCGACACTAAGAAATTTCTATGTATAGTCTTAATTTTCTTAAGTAATGTGTATTTCTTAACAATACTTGTCAGGATTTCAAGGTTTTGAGACAAAGAGCTGAAAATGTAAGAAAATCTCCATCATCATTGGTTTTAATGACATGCTACAAAATTGCTGTGCTATATTTCAAAAGGCAAACTGGCCTGTGGAGAGTGGGGCCAGTCACTAAATGAGACTGAAACAGCTGTGATTTTGCAAGATTTGCCAACATTTTCTTTAGCTCCAAGACACTGCACATTATTTGGTTCATAAAGTACTCTCTGTTACAGATTCAGCTCTTGTTTAGGAAACGAAAAGAGATCATGCTCTGTCTCCTCATTTAAGAATCTCAGGAGTATTAGAAATTGGGTTCAGGGTTTTTTTAATTTAATTTTTTAAAGAGTTTTTCTTTTGCTTTTCAAGGAGAGGAGCGAACTGGGGGTAGGGGTGGGGAGAAAAGTGCAACAATGAATGAGAGGAATTCCAAAATCTCTGTAAATGTTCACTGAAATTAATAATAATAATAATAATAATAAATAATACAAAAAAATTAATTTTATGTTTACAGAGACTTGGAGTTTTTATTCATTTATTGTTGCACTATTCTCTCTGCCCACCTCTTCCCCACAATTTTTATTAATTTTTTTTAATGACAGACACTTAGACTAATGGAATAAAATCAAGATCACAGAAACCAACCAATTTGACTACAGTCAGTTGGTATTTGAAAAAGAATCAAAACTTATCAAATGGAGAAATGACCTCTTCAACAAATGGAGCTGGCAAAGTTGGGTATCTAGCTGCAGAAAACTGAAACAAGATCCTAATCTTACACTACACACAAAAATCATCTCCAAAACAACTATGAGCTATCATCTCACCCCAGTCAGAATAGCAAAATTTAACACAACAGCAAGCAACAAATGCTGGCGAGGTTGTGGAGAAATTGGAACCCTTATTCACTGTTGG